ACTGTGGGTTTTCTCTGGAAGTTTTTCCTTTTACGATGTGAGGGTCTAAGGATAGAGGGTGTCGTTTTTCTCATACTGATATTCTGAACAATCTGTGCTGTTGTATTTGCTGTAAAGTGTCTCTGGCTATTTTTATTATATGTACAGCACTTTGGCTCGACCAAAAATCGTTTATAAATGTGCTATATAAATAAAACTTGATTTGATTTGAACAATCCTAACAGTCTCTAGGTCAGGGGTGCCCAACCTGTTTTGAACCGAGAACTACTTTTAAAGTTGCCAGTCTGCCGAGATCTAGCAGTCCAAATAGAGAGGCGTAGCCATTACTGACAGCCTACTACCAGGTAAATACACACTTCTACTTCGTATAAAACTGACCTTTGTACGATTAATACTCCATAAAATACTGCAGATCCTTTATCTTACCTCTTTCTAATCTACACACATACAAGTATTTAACTGAAGTTACACAACAGTGTTGTTGATACAGAGTTGGAGTTTATTCACACGTCACATACTACAAGTGGGTAATGTTTTCAAGAAACATTGAACAGTGCTGCCACATATGACACAGGAAAAAAGAAAATACTCTGAACCCTTTCTTTGCCATTATATACAAATAGTGTTGCTACAAAAGTATAAATTAGGCTTACTAATAAGACAACTCAGATCTGAAGCTACACAGGAAGCTGCTGCCAAAGTGCAAAATTAATAGAATCAAACCCTTTTTTGTAGCATTTTAGTAGATTATAAAAAGAAATGCTTTTAAAATAAGATGCAAGCAACACTAGTTTCTTAACCTGAATTGATAATAGACTATAATCAATTTAAACAGAACAGATCTTAATGTTTGCATTCTTATACCATTTTGTACAATAATTATAATGAATAAGTTCAAACAAACTAAAACGTACAGCTGATTAATAACGGTATCTAACTTGAGTTTTTATTATATCAAAAAACCTGTTGAAATGCTACTGTTATTTTTACTGTCCCCATAAAGCGCGTCGGCAGCCTCCAGGAATGCTTCTTTCACAACTTCGCCGTCTTTGAAAGACTTGATAAGAACGTGACTGACACGATAAGATGCTATGGTAGCAGCCTTGCTCTTGTTGTTGGGCCTGGTGAAAATGGACTGCTGTGCATTTAGCTGTCCTTTCAGGTCCCTCCCCTTTTGGGAGCGTAGGGCAGAATTAGGAGGGAATTCCGTCTCCTAGCGTTTGTGCACTGTTTTGAAATGCCGCTCCTAAATTACCCTTCTTCGATAAAGCCACGCTCGCATTGCAGATGAGACAGATGGACTTTGAATTGGAATAGATACAAAAATAATCATCCTCCCACTCGGAGTGAAAATTATATATTTTGGGCTTTTTTGCTTCTGCCGTAATTACGGTCTTGTGTGTGTGCGGACTGTCACTCCTGTTGAGTGTTGACCTATGGTGTTGACACCTTTATATATACAGTCTATGGTTGACACGGACAACGTCAGCGAACTAGTGCCCACTGCCCACCAGCCACGCCCCGACACATGGGGTCACGCCGGCCAATTACAAAGCTTTGATGCGTTCAAGTGCATTATTCTGGCACAGGAAGATTATGTTACAGGACATTAACGATAAAACAGAATGTTGTTGTTCGATTTTTAGACACATCTCGCGATCGACTGGGAATCTCCCCGCGATCGACCGGTCGATCGCGATCGACTGGTTGGGACACCCCTGCTCTAGGTAGACACAGAACAGTAATTTTCTTTATCTGAATATATTTTGGATGAAGTTCAGTTATTGTGAAGGAATAATAAACATCACAACTATATACCCAACGCAGAAGAAGAAACCTTCTGTCTAGACTAGAGGAATCATTAACCCACAAAATGATCATTTGTAGGCTATATCAATTACTCACCACGTCTTGAAGAAATCTTTGATGATCTTGAATGCATGCACTGTAAACAAAAAATCCGGAAACAGAGAAAAGTCTTGATCAATAAAAGTTTACACGGATAGCCAATAAAACCCTTTTTCACAACTCTTTCAGTTTAATCCAAGTCTTATTCATCCAGTTTAATGCCCACTACTTCACAAACAACTATAATATACGTTTGCTTTGAAGGCCTTTTTAGAGATTGTCATGGCTAAATTATTGATGTACAAATGATCATTTTAAATGTGAAGAACTGTGTTTATATTATACATTCTATGGTTTATACCCATAACATTCAGAGTAGGGCAGCTTGAAACAGCATAGCCATTTTATCTGATTGAAGATGAAATCTTTCTCCAATCCCTTTCCAGACAATTTCCCTCTTTAACTGAAACAGGCAGAACATTTCTTATTTACAGCAGGACAGCGAGTGGCTTGGTTTAGAAACAAGTGACTGTTGCCCCTTTGACGCAAATGCAAGACAAGGCCAAGGCACTGGCCAGACTGACGTGAGTGTGTGTGTTAACATTTAGACAGTAAACGAGATCATTTTTCATGTAGTCTATCATGTGACGATGAGGGGAATCCATTTATTGTTTTTCTGAGATCTCTAAATGGAGTTTACTTTTAATCTACAGGACCCTGACTCAGAGGCAGGTAGCACAGAGACTGAGGTACCTAAAGTAAGATATTAAAGAATTTCTTAAAATCTATCTGTACGGAAGAACAGAGGCAAGGTGACTTTATTATCGTTTGTGAGCAATGCTGTCCAACACCTTCATATGTCCTACAAGAGAATAACTCTAGTGTGACACAAAAAACAGCAGTTCAAATCAAGTGGTTGAACTTTCAATATCCTTTGTATCATGCAGTTGGTCTTCATTACAACTATTAAAACGGCCTAAAAAAGCCTATCCCAATATGTTACAAGGGAAAGAAAGAAAATGTTTGCCTTTTACAAATAATTGGAGGACTTGCAGGCTTAAAAAAAGCATATATACGGAGGAGATATCTCGTACGTAGGAGATCAAATTAGGTCAATGTTGGTGTTGGCCAACACTGCAGGCAACAGCAATTCAAATTTACATTGCCTCTCTGGACTTCCGTATACATGCAATGTTCCTGTGATGGCTAAAATTGTAATTTTCTGCTATTCCTGTAGAAGTGACCTGGGAGCAAACTTTTAAGGTGGGACTTTGAAGGATAACTGAACTGGGACCCTGACGGACAACAAACATGGACTTGGGATTAGAAAAGGACACAGTGCAAAGCCATTGTTCCATGTGCACTCTATTTATTCAGCAGGATCTTCTACCAACAATATCTTCCTTCTCTTACAACCACCCTGAATTACTATGACTCTCGCTGTTGTATGTAGAGCTTTAGTGCAGCTCAGATGTATGTGTACTTTTTTCAGGTGTAGCTCGGTTTGCTTTTGTTTTCACTCTGGGTGTAACCTTCACATCCTCCATATTTGTGCAGGTAAAAGAAAACTTCCTGGCTACCTAAGTGCTTCTGTATGTACACAAATCATCCATAACTCATCCATGAGTGTCAAAGCCAATTATGCACACATGACGTGCAGACGTGCCACTATCGGACTGATTTATCACCGTGTGCACCTTGTGATTGATATTTCAATAAATGTGAACAGGAGTTTTTTTCTGTCTCATTGCAAACAGCACAACAGGCAACATGTGTAAATAACTCAGAATGTATTTTTTATTGTCTCTGATTATGTCTGGGCTTCCAAAAAGCATGCAAAAAATAGCTTCTTCATATATATTGGTACATATTTACATTGCATTTCATAGGGATGTGCCATGCTTCTGTTTTTGAATTTGTAACGAGCCAGAGTACATTCAGAAAAAATGCACGAGACAACACGAGACGGCAGGCACCTTCAGGAAAAACATCAGGACAGTCACATGAAATACAGAGCAGCCGTATAAATCCTCCCCAACTGAACATTATGTACACTCTCCCACACTCCTCCTTTGGATACAATGACCTGAAATCATGAGGAATTATTCCTGTGACTCACTCTCAGTGCTGCAATTGCACCCATTGATTTTTCTTCACCAACACTGAACTTAAGAGGGTGCACAATCCTCCAGTAACACAATTTAAAATGTGTATTTAATAAGTATCTGCATCAAAAATAAAACATTTGTGCTACATTTGAGAACATCCCCTATGCCTTGTAGTATTAAGGCTTTCTCCAAGGATGAAATGTGCAGCATTGAAAGAGTCATACAGGTGACGATTAAATGATGGCCATTTAATTATACAATTTTTAGAACACATTTTCTCTATGTTACTTCTTGTCCAATTGTATGGAGATAAGATCAGCATCTTTCCAACACTCTGCAATCAAAGTCATATTTATAAACAGCACAACAGGTAAGAGGGAAAATTGGTTGTTGAGTTTTAGCTTTGGGTTAATTATCTCTTTAAACATAACCTTTGCAGAGCTCATAATTCATATAAACAGCTGTTGAATAAGGGTAGCAGTTTGGTTCTATGGCTGGAGGCTTAATGTTCAATCTTTAAGGGCAGTTAGTGATCATCCCTCACTGTGTCTCTGGGGATATTGGACATAAAGCTGCTATCTCCAGCTGCTCATATAATGGGGATGACAGTGGTGTAGTATTCTTCATCATTACAGCAGTAAACTCCACAAGTCCCTAGCTGCGGTTACACAACATTCACAATTCCTGTCTCTATGTGGACATGCAGATGTTGTCACTGCAGCTGTTACAGCGTTCTTTTGAAACAGACAGGAGAATAAATTACAGAAAAGATAAATTGAATAATATTTAGTTTCATTTATAAAAGACATTTCCAAAAACAAGGAGCAATGCTGTAACATGCAGATTGATATCAAAAGCACGGGAGACTTTGAGAACATACACAGTTAATATGGTCTTTTACAGGTGAACCACAGTTTTTTTCCTCCATCATAAATTGTACAATTTTGAATAGCTGGCAGGCACCAGTATTTTTAAGATGCTTTCTGTAAGTGAAAATGTGCAAATATTTAAATATAACCAGTACTTTCGTTTTTTCAACAATGTCAACAATGCAGTCTGTCAGTACAAACACACAAATGTAAAGCTGGCGACACCAAGAGACTTAAAGAAAACCTCAAAAGAATGTTGTAAGTTATAAACCGTCACCTTAAGACATACAAATGTAATATTTTTGGTTCAAACAGTCCTTCATTGAAGGTTAACTGCAAAAGGATCTCAGGGCCTCCTTAACCTGTCCTCTGGAAACATGAAATAAAAAAAGCCCTCATGTCAATCAGCATTTACAACATTCAACACGTATACTTTTTTTACGGAACAATTAAATAAAAATATATAAAGCTTTACATTCCCAAGAACCCATGGTCTTTGTGCATTACTTTCCTGACAGTGTGAGCATACATCTCTAAACACAGAGGCTCAATGTGTGCAACACTTTCTACCAACCCCTCTCTGCTCTCTGTGCTTTAGTATGCATCCTTTACTGCGGATACTGAGGGCAAGTTTAATAAAGGAAATGCAAAACGCTGCACTTCCCCCGACCCACCCCCGTTTATAATCAGCCACACTGGGGACGGCACTGAAGTGGATGCAGTGTGTTGTTGTTGGCAGTCTGGGTCTAATCGTGACATTGAAATGCTCTTTTCACTGCGGTTCAAGTGCTCAGAGCACTCTGCCAGACAAGCACGCTCTCTTTCACAGACCCAGGCCAGAGCAGAATGGAGTTGTACAAACATTATCTGAAGGAGAGCTACGGAGGAGGAAGAGATCTATCGTTGATTTGAGACAGCGTAGACACTGCAGACCACAGATTTGACTTATTTTGAAGTTTGGCAATCATGCTTAATGGCAAACAAAGGACTTCAATCACACAAATAAATGATATTTCATATGCCACCAATTGCCAACGCAGCTCGACACACATATGGCTAGTTTGATCTTCAACATGTTATCCAGGAAATCTAGTTAGGGACCTTGCAAAAATCGCTGAGATCTTTTATTCGCACAACCCTTTCCAGCATTAATTACCATTTAATTTGGACCCTAGCTCTGACTTCTCAATAATTCTATTTGATGTAACCTAATTTAAATGTAATCAATTATGTTATAAAATATGTTTAAATAATATCTCTGTGTTTAAGGAAAAATTCTTTCCACAATAAATGGAATTAATAATTTCAAAAAGTGTGGCAACAAAAAGGCTGACATTTTATGACATCTACAATTGTTTAACACATTTGTGTTACTATGCATAAGAAAGTAAAGGAGATTATGACTTTTTGTTGATAACATTTTTCACAGCTCAGCACAGTTTTATGATCTGCTGTGACTTTGAGAGCCATGTGCAAGGGAATACTGAATTATTAATGTGGGACATTAGAAAAATAAAAAGACCCTTCTCCTTTTCTCCAAAACATTCAGACTAACCATTCCTCAGCTAAAAGGAAACATAAAAACCCTGCCACTTCTGACCTCTCCTTCAGTAATAATTTGTGCACAGTCCCTTAGCCTGAATAATTCAATTTCTTCTGTAAGAGCGCACATTGATGTTTAACTTGGACAATACGATTATGCATGCCTTCATACAAGCTCTGAATCCAATAATGGGATTTTTAAAAAGGGAAATTACAGTCTGTTCTGACTCACCATCAAACAACAAACAACACTTCCAAGTGCTCCGACCTCTGTCGCCATGACTTCACATTGGATCAAACAGTACATCAGGATATGGAAGGAAAGAGACGGTGCAGGAGAACAATTATCAGACACGAAGGAGTTTAAAAGGAAGCGCGAAATGATTTCTAACAGAAAAGGTTTCAAATAACACAGCGACCAAAGTAACTTTTAAATGTGTTGGAGCATAGCCAAGTCACTGGCCTTTCTGTGCGATCACCCGTAGGCAGCTGACTTCCTGTCAGAGGAATCCAACAAGGTGGGCCCTTGAAGGCAGCACAGGAAGGATTCCATCACCCAGCTCAAAAATAAAAGCTACCGATGGCATAAAAACAAGAAAAGGGCTGTGAGACAACACATTGATGATACCTCAAGACATCTATGTACAATATCAGAAAGAAAACAATCCTGTAGTTCAATGAAGAGACAATCTAATGCCATTTACATGCTGTGAGGATTATTCTCCTTGTCAGGCTGGCTATAGACAGTGTGACGATGACGCATTAACTCTTCATCCATGCAGACGTGTTTTGACAGTTTTTTCCCCCACATCAGCTGGTAATGATGCAGAGTTCCCCCTATCGGTTCACTGATGCCAGTCACAACAGGAAGTGGGAGAGCAGTTAAGACAAGCGACATTGAAGAACAAACTAAATGCCCAGTCTCCACATTGTAGAAGGGCAGATCAGGAAGAAAAAGGAATAAGCTAAATCAAAAGCAAGCCCGAGCAAACAAGTCTGAATGCGAACTAGAGTCAATCAGCAGATTAAAGTGGAGAGTACGCCGGTGAACAAGCAGAGGGATGTATGTTGGGATGGAGTTTAAGACTGTTGAGAGACTCAAGAGGAGGGCTCGTCTTCATGCAGGTCCTCTAGCTCTCCTTCTCTGGGTCCATCTCCCGTGCTGCCCTTTCTGAAGGAGGAAAAACAAGAGCAGTTAATATGAGGAGCTTTACAGATCTAAATGATTGGACTATTAAAGGATAGTTTGGTCCGAAGCGGGGTTTCATGAGGTACATATCCACTGTTAGTGTTTAACCTATGGTAGATGTCAGTTTGGAGAAGAGGACAGGAGTTACCGAGCTGAAACTAAGCAATGAACTGCTGTGGACAGTTGCAACAAAACATATTCTAGCCACCTAAAGAAATACTGTTTAAACTATTACAATCAGTGTTTTAAGGACATTTTTACCACTTTACCTTTATCGTCAGAAAGCCCCTTTGACCGGTAACTTAAGCAATACTATTTCCAAAGATACGAGACTCCATTGAAAACAGCAATCATTTTACCTCAAAAAAATGGTGGTTGCTGATCAATAGGTGCATCAATCAATTTGTAAGTATTAGTGTGTAACTAGGTGAGTCTGATCTAACCGGTGAAAGCAACAACGCCACAGTCACCTTAACAACTTTTCTGAACCAGGCATGGATAGACCTTACAATCCTGTAAAGTCAAATTACTGGTTTTGTCAATGGAGTCTGGTGGCTTTGAAGAGAGCAGGGATTAGAGCTACAGTTCCCCACTGGAAAGGGCTGTCTGAAAGGAAGGCAGGGCAGTGAAAATATTCAAAACAAAGCTTACACCTTAAATTGATTATGATTGTATTAGCTGTAGAATACATGTTTTGCTGCAGCCAGAGCACTACATAGCTTTATGTTAGTGCTGACACTCCTGTCCATTTCTCCAAGCTGACAAAGTAAGCCAACCACCATCCACTGTAAGTAAAACCCTAAATATGGACCTCATACAACCCCACTTCATAAATTCCAAGCTAAGCCTTTAACCCTGTGCTTTATCTTTCCAAATGCAGCAAAAATCCCGTTTTTTGTCACATGATGAATGGTAAAGACACGATGTAACAAATGACAGCAGCAGGGAGATGAAAAACTCTCTGAGATGACAGCTGGGGAAGGAAGCTCCATCACTTCTCATGATGAATGGAGGAGTCTAAGATGATGATGGGCGTACAGGCTGGTGGATGGGGGACAGACAGCGTGTCAAACTGCAGAGAGTGTTACCTGAGGGAGGGGTGCATTTTTAAAGGGGGCCGGAAGGGCCACGAGTCCCTGCAACAGTGGGAGAAAAGATGGGAGAGTCACAGTTCAGAGGGCAAAGGTCACCTCAGAGGTTCTAAGGCGTGGTCAACCTTAAGTTGCTTCTTTTTCATTTTATACCAATTTAAAATAAATATATTGGGACTCAACTGCTTTGTTATTTTCTCTTTCACTTTATTTTGGAACCAATTGAAGTTTTATGGGCTGAACATTAGATGAGTTTTTAAGGTCAAGTGTCTTTTTAGTCTCTCAGAGGCTGACCATGTTGTTGTTTATGGTCCATTATGATCACATTAATGTCTCAAAATGAAAGTGCTCAGGAAAGTAAAATAGGTGATGAAGTTAAATTGAGAAATCCAAAATACACATAGTTCTCCAAGTAATTTAGTTTTTTGCATTTTTTATTTCCCCTTAATTCCCAATTTAGTATCAGATAATCTCTTTCTTTGCATATATAAACTTAAAATGTTCCCAAATATATATTTATAGGCAATTTTCTCCGAACTTCCCCGTTTGCCATTACCATGAATATTCTGAAGATTTTAACAAAAAGGCTCTTTCATGGACCATTGAAAGCCTGATTTATATCACATATTATCTATATATAGGGGGAAATGTATGTTTTGCTGGGTAAGATATATCTTAAATTCCCTTTGTAAAAGAATCGACACAACATTAATTTTCAACCTGGCGTCATCCAGAGTTCAATTTACTCTTGTGGAAAGAGTGCAAATTATAAAAATGAAATACTGCATCATTTGCATATTTAAGGAAAGCATTTCGGAAAGGGGAGGGTTTATGGTGATAAAGATTTTCAACTGTAGTGCCCACGTTTAATCAACAATCCATGGTGACAATGTGTATGGATCAGAAACTGTGAGCTGATGTACAGACTATATTTTTTGTTCACGCTGCTGTGATCTTTAGATGTACAAAGCTTTGTCGTCTCCTTTTCTCCAGCAGAGGGCAGTATTGTTCAAAACTCCCTCCACGTCCTCTGGAAGCACCTTCACCTGAGAAGGCAGCTCTCTGACTGCCTGGAGCGGAACAGGGGCAACCTTGGCCTAGTTAGGGGAGGAGAAGTCATGTAATAAAACGCTCACAATGAGCGGTTAGAGTCTCCTCCACATTCAGCGCTAAAGTGGCCCTGATGGCAAGGTCTGCCTGACACCAAACACAGATTACTGAGCCAAACGCACCCGCAGTACAGCAGGGAACAGCTATAGAAGCTCCCAATCGCCCTAGGCTGTACTGTATGTGTTGCAATTGCACGACAAAGTAATATGATTGGCTTTTCTCCCTGCGTTCAATCCGTGGAACAGAAAATGTAAGGTCAGCCCGAGGCACTCGCAGATCTGTATGATTATCTGTCACTCTGAATCCTTCTACCCTTTAACGCTGTAAGCAACACACAAATAACACTTATAAAAGAATGAATCATGGTGCTATGGTAACCCAAAGCAGTCGTTGCTGCAGGAGTGAATGTGAGTTATCCTGAAACATAGGACAGAGGAGACAGGTGTGATCTGCGTGTTTTCTGCAGTCTGTTTTTAATCATCATAGATGATATGCAGGTATTAAAAGGGACAGTTCACCCCAAAAATACACCTCTTATACGTCTCTTAACTATAATGCTTTTATAAATCTAGCTTGATCTGGTGTGAGTTGAGAAAGTGGAGATTTCTGCTTTAGTGATATGGACTGTGTGGTCTTACATTAGCAGGCTGCCTGGTGCAGACATAGAGCGCTCCTCTCTCCTGCTTGGACACTCGAAGGGGTTACTGAAGGAGCGCTTCCTCAGCATGGCTCTCACCAAAATCTGAAACAATCACAAACACAGGACGCTTACAAAGATGTTCAAACGTTTACTTTTTAAATGTAATCTGCACAAAGAACACAGTAGATGTATTGCAAAGAGAGGATAGCAAACACAAATATCAGAGCTCTTATGAGGAGATTAACATTTCCTTTGTTTATTAGGGTCCTATTAGCACAAGCATGAGTACAGACTATTCTTCCTGGGGTCCCATTCATACAGTCAAGCGCACTTATACACACTAGAGTTATATAAACAGTCAAAAGAGCTCATCTCATTGAATATACAATCAACCACACAACAGAAACAAAATCGACCAACCCAAGATGTCATGGCAACCTTGATTCCTTATAGAGATATATAGTCCCTTTTAATTCAAATAAATCCTCTTTTAAATTACCATTATAAATACAGTATATTTTTCCAAATTGCACTTTCGCACATTTAATTCCAAGAAAATACAGAATTAAAAAAACATTTCTCATTCTCTGGCAAGAGGGAATTTCTTATTTGACCAAGATTTACATTTGATATGTTTGAAAATACGGTTTTACATTTAGTTTTTAACCAAACCTGGCTACCTTCTGGCTATTTCAACACCGCGATCTGGTCAAAGTGCTGTCATTTATTAAGGTCGTAAAGTGTTTCTCACTCTTCTCACACAACACCCGTTTAAAATATGACAGTTTCTTCTGCTACTGTGTATTTAAATTAAGGGAGGTTGTTTCTATTCAGTGTGGGTTATGTGAATGAAATATTTGTAACCCTCCCATTCTGACAATTGGTTGACAAGGCAAAGAAAATATATATCCATCCTTGTTCAGTCACTACGTTGCCGTATTTCTTAGAGCTTCACTTTCTTGGAAATGGTGAGCATAAAGGTATCAATTTGACACAAAGAGCTTGTTGAAGGGAGGACACTTACCACTGCAGAGAGGCTGGGAACAAACTTGACTGAGTTCTGGATGTCCTCCTCCGTCACCTCCACCACGGAGCAGTGCTCCTCCTCCAGTGGCAAGGGGTCAGTGCCCCCCTGGGTCACCCACTGGTCCAGCTAAAACACACACAGGAAGACATGTCATTGTACACTGTATCTATGAGCCACAGTTAGTCAAGTTTAGCATGTGCATCCTTATAGGAAGTCTGGCTATCTACTTTCTGGGCATTGTTCAATGTTTAAAATACTCAAAAAGTCAGCATTTTCTTAATTTCATGGTAAACCCTGCAGGGCATGCATATTATAAACCACTATTGATAATTTCTTAAAGCAAGGCATGCTGTTTAGATTTATTCATGACATTTTTTTTACCAGCCAGGCAGCCATTTGTTTTGATTAATGTTGTTATTGCCCAATTGCAAAGACTTCAAAGTCGCTTGAGTCACATAATCCATCACAGCTACCAACCACTGAATGTTTTTCGTCAACATTTTAGTTTTCAGCAAAGGCTCAGTTGTTGCTATTTTGGTGTGATTGGTTTAAAGAACATATTAAATATCAGGACGTTCACTTTTCTTCAACATCCCAGCCAATCGTCTCCAAAATCCAGACTATGCACAAGGAACTTCTACAATTTCAAATCAGTTAGCATCAATAGATGTCATTTAAAATGCAGGATACTTTTATTAATGGGTCACCTAATTAAAAACTACTTGAAACTAAAAAACCATAGAGACTTTAAACATAATGATTAGGTCTGAATCAGACAGGTGGATCAGCAGAAGAAGAGAGAGCATCCTTTTTCCTTAAACTTTCAGAATCTCTTAACACACTGCTGGGACACATATTTAGTTATAAAAGACATGAAAAAGTGGATTTAGCATAATAGGTGACCTTAGGGTTTGTATCAGTGTTCTTTTGCAGCTTTTGCCAACTAAAAGATATGTGTGTTTGCATATTTGTATGCATCATGCCTAATTATCTCTTTTTCCATCAACACAAACAGAGTCTCTGGTGAGAAAAATGACTCACTGACCCATGCTTGGATTGTGTCATGGAAATACAGTGGTTAGGGGGGTGGGGAATGCAATCTCCCCATGGTTGGTCTTGGACCTCCCTCTATATTACTGACTAGGTTTCATTGCAATCCTCCACAGGGACAAAAAGGTTTCATCACAACCTGCAACAACGCAGCATGTCCAATGAACATGTACAGCAGTGAGATCAGTCTTCTGAGCCAATCAGAGGAGAGAAAACCAGTCATTTTGTGTCTGAACACGAACAATGCATGTCAAGCTTAACAATAAGTGACGAACCCCGGGGTCTCAATTACGTCTGCTTTGTTCTCTACCTTGATCTCAGGGATGGTAATCCTGGTGTCCGGGTTCTTATCCAGCATCCGCAGGATCAGAGTCCGCAGCTCTTCACTGATATTTGGTCTGCACGAAACACAGAATAATTATTTTAAAACATTGTTGGATTTGGAAATGTAATGAAACAGTTGATTTGTGACAACGTACAAAGAACATATCTACTTGCAACTCCAAGTGGACTTATGCGAGCAGTGAGGAAAATCACATTTCCACCTCACCCTTGCTACATAGAAAATACTCATAATTTTCACACCTGCATGATTATGCTTGTCACTTACTATTACTAGGCATAGAGACAAGTGTAAGCTTTACTGAGCATTAAGACAGTGACTTAATTTAAACAAACAGTGAAGAAGAAGAAGATGATGATGATGATGATGATGATGATGATGATGATGATGATGATGATGATGATGATGATGATGATGAATTTAAAACACACTTTGAATTAAAAAAAAAGTACCCTAATATTAAATCAGCTGATCAGGTAGTTCTAATCACAATGTGTTATGTGTGAAAACTAAAGTAATTAGCAAAAGTTGAAATGGTTTTCTAAAAGTAATGGATAGACAGTTAACAAATTTAGCTTATAGTAATAGATAAACAGGTGAAATGTTTAGCTAAAAGTAGTGGATAAACAGTCAAAAATAATTTGCTGAAGTAATACATAAACAGTTGATAAAAAACGATTTCCATTATTAAGTAGCTAACTATTTCACATGGTAATCATTTACTTTTTAGCTAAGTATTTTAACTGTTTATCCATTAGTTTTAGCTAAATATTTCACTTTTGTATCCATTACTTTAAGCTATTTAACCTGTTTATTCCTAACTTTAAGCTAACAATTTCACCTGTTTATCCAGTACTTTAGGCAATTATGCCCCTTTATGCTTAGGACTTAAAAGCAACTGTGAGGGAAGTCAATGCTCCATATTAATGAAGGGGCCTATTCAATTTTGCATTTCACCGACCCCGATAAAATAAGAGTAGAATATATCATAGTTATAGAGGTCATTTGTGTCTCAGTAAAACAAGTTTATGTGAGCTCAGCCATTGATCACAATGCACACCTTCAGTATAATGACCTATCAGTGCTGCCAACAAGGGGCAGCTAACTCTATTAGATTGGTATAGTGTCGAGATGATACCATTAGTGATGCGATACTCCGATTGGGAGGAGGGGGATGATGTTTAATGAACAAGCTTTCTCCACAGTCACAAAGTCTCTATTGAATAAATAATCCAACTGCTACTTATAGCCCTTTTACATGTTCTGTTTTACTTTACTTTTGTGTCACTATATTTGTGCGTTCCCTAAGTCTTTCACTTCTGCTCGCCTCTTCCTGACTGCCTATCTTTCTTTTGTTCTCGTTCTGTCTCTTTAGCGTTATTCACTCAAGAAGACTTCCACTAGTACGTGTCCAGGCCAGTGATGCCACTCTTTGCCCTTTAATGCTTGTTTTGATGACAAACGGGCCGAATTCTATTTTTGGCTGTTGCTGGCTGCTGTATAAGCTTTTCATATTTGTGTATGTGCAATTTGTTACTGAAAATAAAATGAAGGTGAAAGGATTTCTGATGAGTATCGGATACATCTGTGGAATGGAGATGGTGGAACATCGCTGCTGTCGCTTTTAATAAAGTGGAGAACAGGTGAGGATGCAGGAGATGGACTTACGTTTCTTGGAAATCCACAAGCTTGGTCCTTATCTTATTGTGCAAAGCCAATATGTACTCATCAATAAAGGGGCACTGCAGGTGGAGCAGAGGAGAGACAGTGAGAAAAACAAGGAAGGTACATTGAATTACTACCGTGTGTACCAAACACAATCTGTATCCTTTAAGACAACCAAGATAAATCACAGCAATAATCAGCTAGCCTTTATTCAAATAAAATATGCCACTAGTCAGCTGTTGTATCAGATATTAAAATGGGAAATGTGCAGACTTACCTTTCCAAAAACGAAACAGTAAAGTGTAACTCCCATGGCCCACACGTCCAGTGCCTTTAAGAAAGAGCCGGTATTTACAATAAGAGCGAGACATGAAAAACATACTTTTAGAAACACATTGCAGCAAACCAAACACCTATTTGCACAAACAACATGATGACTCAAATCAATTTGAGAAAAAAAGGCCCATAGTGATGGGACATTGTTAGGTAATGTTTTGTGTGATTGGTTACAGAGGCAATCTAGTCATCCATCATCTTGTCTGTCCTCCCTTTCCCTGGATAAATAGCTCTTTTAGGAATCAATTTCTTATCGTTGATGGATCTAAAATGACACAACTAGCCTTCTGAATTTTATTTTTGGTGCTGTTGTATGACTAACATTCTTAACCATACAACCCTGACTGATAACGGAAGGGGTATTAGTGACATACGAGTGTCAGATATTACAATATTTTACTGCTGATTTACACCAAAATCAGAAATGTTGGTGCATAACGGAGACAAAAGATCTCTGGAGCACGGCTTGAACAAATCCAAATCAGCAAGAATACGACACTAATCAGAAGACAAGAGGCCATCAAAAAGGACTGCATTTATTTCTTCAGGCCCTTGAATGACTCTGACATCCCTTCTGTCTGCAATCAGATCTACTATTCTTCTCTGTCTTTTGTAGACATGTAAGGACCCTCCTATAGCAAATCAATCAGTCTGTAATTTGTGATAACAACTAATGGAAGCAGCATGACCTGTACCTAAAATGCCGGATAATAAGACATCCGTGTTGGGAATTTTGTTGCGGTTGTATTCACGTTTTCACTTAGGAAGGGTTCTAACTGAGTGAAATGACCCAGAAGGACTTAAGTGGTGGCCATAATGAGAGCTGTTTGAGTTCTGTAAAATATAATAAAGGGGGTCCAACATCCTTCATTACCTCCTGTAGTGAAAGGGGTCTTCCTCATCCAATTGATATAATGGTAAGTGCTGGCAACCATTTCCTTTCACTTTTATATTTGAATTCCAACCTTTCGAGATGAAGATATATCTTTTCACCATTGTCCAATTTTGTGTGCCTGTATAAAGATGTGTTTTATGTAGTCAATCTTTGTAAAAAAAAAAAATGGTAGATTCCCAACTGCACGACCACCTAAAACAACATCCGCTGTTGCAACATAATTACATAGCCAAGTCCTAATGAGTTCCTCACATCTTTCCGTATCACCATGACGTTTTTCTCCAAGGTTAAGAAAAGGTAGTTAAAAGAAAGCACATTTTTGTTTTCTAAATCCAACAGGCGAGCTGAGCCTGGAAAGGGAGGTTCAGGTCAATGCTACAAATTAATCCAATATTTAAAAAAATGTTGGCTTCCTGCAATTTAAAGAACATCATCAACTTTGATATTGCAGTTAAAAAGCTTGCTCTGCTCATATAAATCTCGGCTGCAGCCTGCATACCAGATCAAGCACTTTATAAACTAGTATTTTGGCTTCACTTTTGGTAAGATGTCAATGCTGCTGCTCACATACAGTACTCTGCCCGACAATCCGTGGTGAAATATTTATTTTTATCTTTGGGCAACACTTCATATTTTGCTTCTAAATTGAAGAAATTAGCAGGGGCCACATGGAAGTGAAAGCACTGCTTTGTCTTTTTGAATATGAAAAGTGCAATAACAATATTTGGTCCTAAAATGAATTTATAAATCGTGATAAACACTCACTCAAATCACAAATGTTGTCTGAAAATGGTTTATAAATTAGCAGCTGTAGTGGATTCACAAGCAGTGATCATAATGCAATATATATTTCTTCTCCTTGTAATACATTTTTTTGTATTGATCGCAGAGAGGTGGATTGTATAAAGAGGTGGAATCACTCCAAGTGTTATATGGACTAATGGCGGGATATTTGCGATATACATGACTGATCATTGATTGACTGCGAAAGTAGCAAGAGTAAAATGATGTAAAAAATGTTCCCATGTCAATATCAGGTATCTAATAATGATCATTCCATTTCCTGACTCTGCTGATGGTGCTTCTCTCAGCTGCATTACTGGCTCCTTTATTACCAGCTTACACACACTGGGGAAAAGACTGACAATTTGCTCCTTGGATTAGCAGCCCGGCAAAGTTCTGAAAGCTCATCTTGGTTTAATGATTTTCATTTTATATTCATAAAGTTTAGACACCTGCGGTCCCTGTATTCAGGGGAGCTCAAACTCAGGCACGCTCACAATGAATAAATGAAGTTCACTCACTTTTCCACTAAAGCTCTTTCGCGCGTCTGAAAGGGTCTCTGGGGCCATAAATGCAGGAGTGCCAGCAGTGCTGGACAGTAAGGCATCATTGCCTTCAAACTGGTTGCTGACCCCAAAATCCGCTATCTTCACGTGGCCGTCGTCCCCCAGGAGCAAGTTAGAGGGCTTGATGTCCCTGTGGACAATCTTCTGGTAGTGCACTGTGGATAAGAGGAAGTTAACGGTCAGATTCTTTGATCTTTTGTGCGCCAAGAAATGTGCCATTTATGGTCCTTGTAATTAGTATTCAATATGGACAGATACTTTACAATCACATTTATTTCATTAATATATCAAGATTCATAAAGCAGAACGGTGCATGTTTTGATTCTGTGTCTGTAGCTTTAAATGCTAATGAGCTGCTGCTGGCCACGCCCCTCTGCAAGATATTTGGTTAAAAAAACACAATGGTGCTCTAGAGGAGATTCAGGTGATAAAGTGGGTGGGTGTTACCTTGGTTGGTTATTGGCTAATTGTTACACAACGCAAAAAAAAAAAACACAAAGTGGCCAAAATCTGATCAGCTCATTTTCAGACAGGTTTTTATATAAATGGATCAGGACAAAAAGAGAGAGAATCTTTTTTTCCTGAAACTTTCCGAATCTCTTTACACAGAGTTACATGTTGATGTATAAAATACATGAAAAAGTGGATTTTTCACAATAGGTAACGTAGTAAAGAAAAGAGAAGAAAGTATGAGACATAAGTCATAATTACAGAGCAGATAATAAATCGTCACTTTGACCATAAAAATGAGACATAAGTCATAACTAGAAAATAAACGTGCGAATGCTGTAAACTGTGTACATTTGTTGCTGAATTTAGCTGAAGATGCAGAAAAAGCTGAATATGTTATTAGCTGAATGGTAGCTGCTTTTAGCTACAAAAACCAAGTAAGTGTGTTGCTGAACTTAGCGGAGAAATGCAGAAAAGTGAAATGATTTGAATCAAAATGTTTACAGCTCAAATGCATTGCAATGACTTTGTTGAAAACTTGAAAGTGAAATGTTAAACTGGAAGAGTAGGAAAAAGAGTGAAGAAGCTAAATATTTCAAAGCAAAGGTTTTAAAAAAGGTATAAACTACAAAATGTATATATTACAATGTCCTGAAATAGCTGAATAATTTAATAGTTGAATGGTTTCTGTAGTTTAAAGTAGGCTGAAGGAGTTAGATATTAAATGTAAGTAGTAGTGAATGAATGTGTATTAAGAAGAGAAAAGAAAGTAAAAACACTTTGAAAAGCAGCAGAATATTTTAACTGCAAACGTTTGAACTAAAGCCATACGTCACCAATAATGTATAAAATATGTGGAACATGTTGAAGTCAGTATGAAGTCTCCATCAGACAGAAAATAATAGGCTGAGACAGTCTGTGTGTTTGTGTTTGAGGTGACAACGTTATCAAACACCTGTGTGCAGGGATCAAAGGTTACCATGGAGATGTGCAGTGAAAGGAGAGCCTTGCCATTGATCTGAATGAGAGATAAACCTCTTACATTTCTAACTATAGTTTAAAAACGGTAGCTGATATCGGTAAAATGTCAACGCGTGCAGCATGTCAGGACCCTGACGAGCGTCTGAGTCTGCTGTTTGTGTACTTTCGGGACAATAATGTGGCATTTTTTGGCAGATTTACTAAAGGTTTGCAGCTGCTGCTCTGACGAAAGATCAGGCTGAATTTACAATGGGCCTTAATGGAAACATGTTGAACGTTTTTGTCACTTCATGCATTTTGTTAAATTTTGCTTATTTGCTTATTTTAGAGGTTTTCCTACAATTCAAGCATAACATGATGTACAAGGAGTGTAGGGTTTGGGAATTATGGCAGTTTAAAAAGAAAAATGTAAGGCAAATTTCAAGCTCTCCTCCACTCTAGGGCCCAATCCCAAACCACACACTACCCCTACGTTCGCACGGAGGGTCGGCCACATTAAATACTGTTCCAAACCAACGAGTGTGGAGCGGTGTGGAGGGGGAGTGGGCTATCAAGCCCTCAAACAGCGAGTCTGCATCGGTGCTGACTGGAGACCGGTTTCTACCTGACCGGTCTCACCGCTGTGTGTGTCCGTCAGGAAAGTAGTTCCAGCAAACATCCACTGATAAACTGCGATGTTAACAACCTCATGATAGCCTCATATGTTTTAACTTAGGATCATACCTGTGGTTAGTCTAGAAAAAGGTAAATGTGTGCATTTTATTATAAAGTAGTGTATATTTACAGACTGTTGCAAAAACTAAGAAGCTTATAAACATCAGGTTTAAAACTAAAAGAGCTTTACAAAAAAGTAACACAATTAAAGATGTTTGGAGTTTTATTTTAGTTATTAATTTAAATGTTTTGTCGAAGAGATGCTGATTTGAAACCATTGTTACATACAGTTACGGCATTTCCTGTTTCTGCCGGAGAGAGGGGAGTTTGTCCCAAAGCTTGCTGCTGTATTTACTCCCTCCATCTGACAGGAGGGAGCCTCGTTGAGCTGCGAGTGGCACTCCACGGAGTTCACTCCGTCACGGAGAGGGAGTGTGTAAGGGGTAGGCTGGAGGGCGTGGTTTGGGATTGGGCCATAGTGTGACATCACGCACTCTGAGCCTCAACAAGCTGCACAATACACACTAATGTTAAAATCTGAAGAAGGCCTCTTTACCAAGCTCCAAATGAAGTTAAATATCTCAAAAAGTGTAAAAGATATCAAAAGTCTGAAGAATACGTTTTATAGCTGAAGCTCTTGTGACAGCATTCACACTAATTACAGCAGATAATAAATCGTCACTTTGACCATAAAAATGAGACATAAGTCATCATTTCAGGAGATAATAAATCGTCACTTTGACCATAACAATTATATGAATACGTCTTAAGCGCTAACACTTAGCAGCCGTCTGCAGCTAAGCCCTCAGACACTTCACTGATTGGATGAGTGGGGCCCTTCTCGTCTAAGGATGTTTGTTTTTTTTATAAATATGAGGCACTTGACTCATTAGAAGCCTATGCAATTAAGCCTAAAATACCCAGCGTCAATGTCCTCAGGAATGACTACAGATATCTAGAATGTAGATTATTTAGGTGACGCTATTGTCTTACAGAAGGTAAATATGGCTACTACAGTATAAGCTAAACATGGTAACCCTGTAACATTCAGTGAGAAAGATGATTGTAATTGTAATGCATGAGGCGGGAAAAGCATGTTGTAAAAAGTTTAACTAGTTCCCTATCAGATCAGAATTGCATTGATTTAAAGATTTGTTTCAAAAATACACAAGAAAAGGCATAATTTAACACCATAATACATTTGATCCTATAGTTTGTCAAAATCTAAATTTGGGTTTAGATATTTTCGCTTTCTGTAATGCTTACTATATACTACACAGGTAATGTGTAATGTAATGGAGGACCAGAGGCAAAATGTATTTTTTTTGTATGAAAATAACAAAAGTGTAAATGGATTTTACATACGCTTGTAGTTGTCTCTACAGTATGAGTCTTTGTAGCTTATTTTCCAAGATGCACCTCAGAGCTTATAGAGAGAGGCAGCATTGATCCCTAATCATCCTGCTCATAGCCTGGTGAAATGAATCTTGTTCAACAAATGAGGTGACAGCTTTCACCCAACAGAAGCTCAATACTGATGACGTGTACAGCACAGATCTGCAGCCAGACCCCCAAGGAGCATGAGAATAAAGGGTCACAAGCACTTTGTCCTTGTAAATGAAAAATGAAAATGCTACCATGTCATTCATTGTAAAGAGTAGTTAGATAACGCATGTGGCTCTTTAGGTGGGGCACTAGAGACAAATAGCTAAAAAGCATGTATTCGTGTCACTTAAACGCTTCACAGTTTTAAAAGCTTTTTGTTCTGCTTGAGGTACTTACGGTACTCCATGCCCAGGATGACATCTCTGAAGTATAATCTCGCCTGCTCCTCTGACAAAGGAGTATCTGAGGGAACCTCCATCACTGGACTGCAGATCCACACAGGATAGGAAACAAACACATACAAAGACAGTTTTGAATAATTAGCACAAGAATATGATCCCCAATGTGAACACATTTTAATTTAAGCATACTTTAAAGGGGACCTATCATGCAAAATGCACCTTTGTACGTCTTTTATACATGAATATGTGTCCCCGGTGTGTCAGGGAACTCACCAAGTGTCAGAAAACACAACCCTCTCTTTTCCTCCATACCCAAAATCTCTAAAAACGGGGCTGCAACGGATCTGATACAGACTGATACAGATTTGAAAATAGTCTGACGTCAGTGACGAGGAGCTCCGCCTATATGGCCAACTCTCCACCAATCAGGGGAATGAGAGGTTGCCGTGGCATGGTAACAGCATGGTAACAGCATGGTAACAGCATGGTAACAGCATGGTAACATGGCGCTCGTAACTCGGCCCCCTCCTTTGCAGGGGGGCGTGGTCAGCTGCAGCGCATGCAAAGACGGGGTGGAGGAGAGGAAAATAGAGCGAAATGAGGCATGGCTAAAATGCATGATCTGTTTGGTATTTTGAAAAATAAAACGTATAAATATACCTTATATAGGTATGGCCCTACAATATATTATTCAAATATAGCATGATAGGTCTCCTTTAACGTCCTCCTGATCAAACATCACTGATACTCAATATGTATGATAAAGACATCTCTGATCCCAAATCTGACTATAGAAAACTTATTTAGCATGTTCTGATAAGTGCACAGGATAGAAATAAAACTACTTGTCTCTTATGGATTCAGGAGAAACATTTATCAATTGTTAAAATTGTTGGCACTATAGACTGAACTAAACTTGTTTCTGCAATGCTTGACTTATAATTAAAGCAGGGATTTAAATTTCAAATAAAAAAACATGTAATCTCATTTAATACTTTGCCAGGTGCTTATTAGCAGTAGCAGTTGTATTTGTCATCCAGGAGAAATACATACAGTATTGTACAAACACAGCTTTCACATAGCATTAATTGTTACTATTGTAATAGAATAAGTAGCAGTAGCAATACAAGTATCAATCAATCAATAACCAATCAATCACTTAGTATACTTTATATATCCCAAGGGGAAATTAGGTTGTGTGACAGTTGCACCATATTAGAATAAGTAAAATACAAAGCAGTATCCCACAAAACTGAATCTCATATGAAATCATTTTATTTGTTGTCAATATATAATCCATGTTAATAGTAACTGTTTTGATAATCAGATTTTCAACATTGATCAGCAGTTCAGTTCTAATGCCCATTTAAGGACAGGAAAAATATGTTTAGGTTAATACCTCTATAGATGAAGAGAAAGAGATAGATTAATAGTGATAATAAATATTTAGGAAAAATAGCACAAAATACAAAATATATATATAAAAATATTTAAAAAAGGGAAATGAGAAAAAATAGTTAGCAAAGGTGATAATAATTTATTTAGTACTAGCAGTATTAATACGCTCCGCTGTCTGTCATCTTTCTCCTAGGGGCAACAAGAGAGCAAACACCGTCTCTAATTATGAAAAAGCAAACAGAACAAAGGTGTGCATAACTCATTTATGAGCAGGTGTGAAATGATACCAGCTTCCCCTCCCCCACTTCTCTTTGTGTTAAATAACAAAGGGCCTCCTCCGATCAATAGATCATCACTATTTTGGTTTGTGGTGTAGGAAGAAACAGCCCGTGCATTAGGGCGTGAAACATTCAGACGGATTACTGCCACTGGTAATAACTGTAGAGAACTAAGAACATTATGAACCCCTTTAAAGTCTGGGATGGAAAAAACACCCGCGCTGTGTCAGCTCGGGTATTGAAGGGCAGGGATGGAGGGATGAAGAAATGAGGAGGTGAAGGCAGAGGAGCAGGAGCCTTCAATTATTAAAAAAGGAAAAAAAAGGACATGTTCTTTACTCACCCTTTCGGCATCAGCTCAAACACTGTCAGAAAAAGAGAGAGAAGAAGAAATAAGAACATGTAAGATTAAACAATTTATTAATTCATCCGGCTCAGTTTGATCGCTGCTTACACCCCAGCATCACTCTATTATTACGAATGTGCCACTTTAAGCACATAAAGAGTTTGACGTGTCACAGGCACCCTAACTGTGACCTGGCACTGCTGATGGAAGATTTCTGCATAATGTGTGAGGCCTGGGGTGGTGTGGAAGGAAGCAGGAGATGGCCTGAATTATGAATAAGTCATATGAACACTTGTTAGTGGCATATGTGCCGAGAGCCAAAGGCTGAGGAGAGGCCGAACAAAGAGTAAGAAGATTTGGTAAAAAGAAAATAAGTTCTGCTTACCCATATGAAGGTTGTCCTCCGCCGGATCATCCAGTACCTGCAACATTAACATTATCATCATCAATGGGAAATTCCACCACAAATCTCAAGGTACATTCGAGTGTGGAAAATATAAAAATCTGCATTCTGTTGGACACATTCAAAAGTATTGTATTTCTTACCAGGGACTATGAAAAGTAATGAGGGAATCGTGATGATATCGCCTTTGAAACTTTTATAAGAAGTTTGAAAAAATATATTTTAAACTGTTATTTGTTCTCATGATAGCAGTTTGAAGTTCTCAAAAGTGAGGACATTGGTATGGAGATATAATTTTAAACTCTGTAATTTTCAACCCTCTGGCTCTTTGTTCAATATCTGCAGATTTTCTATTGAAGAACATTTGATTTTGACACAAAACCCCCGAGTCACAGTTTAACCTTTTGTGAAAAAAGTTTGTACAAAGCCTTTTGTGGCTCCAGAGGGAACAGTGTGAAATTTGATGAATTAAAGTGTTCATTGGATCTGAGGACTACAAATCTCCTGAGTGACCCAAGTTGTGTTAGGGGTAATTGAGGTCCCACGCTTTGATGAAAAAGAAGAACGTTTGAAGTAAAAATGCAATATCTCTAAATCTACCCAACACATTATGTTTCCTTAACCTTACCAGCAGGGGCCCTATAACACTGAGCTAGGACCCCCGTTTGGCTCACTCAGAAAGAAAAGTCTATGATAATACCAATGGTGATTGTGTTGAAGCAAATAATGTGCTGTAACTAGAGCCACATTTAACTTTAATATATTCTGCTTTCAAAAATGTCATTTAAGAAAAAATGTCAAAGTTACTGTCTCAAATGCTGTTACTGAAACAAATATTAATTATTTTATTTTATATTTCACGCTGAACAAAAACGTTGACATCTGGAATACTCTGTCCGTTTTGTCTTTTTGTCCCACATTAAACGTGCCCCTGATAATATAACAGTCCCAAGCATGCCCCCCAAGTAGAATTGGTCTAGAACTGCCACTGCTTACTAACACATTTTGTTCCAATTTTCAGATAAATCATGTGTTTAAAACCAGGAGTGCCTGTCGCTGGTACTCTCCAACAATCACATATGTCACTTTGTTCTTAAGGTATGAGGACATGTTGGGCCATTGTATGTCCAACTATGATATAGGAGTGCAATGTAAAACGAGTACATCCTGCGAGTTAATATTGTGAGTTAGTGGAGTGTTTTTAAATGGGATTAAAACAAACCAGTTAATAAACCAGTTGATAATCCAGCCTAAACCGGGTTAATGAAAAACAGGCCATCCCACTGGAGTAGATGGCGCATAGTTCTACAGGGTTATTGCTCTCTGATCCCACAATGCCCCGGGGCACACAGTCCATCTGGAGCATCGGTTTAACCTTCTGAGCCCCAAAGCCCTCCAGGTGGTTTGAAAGGCGTATTTCTGTCTGTTTTTAATTCACTACATTTACATAATTCATCAGAAAGGATTTTTTGTTTTTTCATTGAACAAATTATTTTCTTTGGACACCAAGAACTGTACACAAAACACAGAGGAGAGGACAAGAGAGGTTGTAAATACAGGTTGTAAAAGTGTCAATAGCATTATCGTAATATTATCATGTGAAGCCCCCATTTTTGTAGCCCAATTTTGGTATCAATCATGGGAACAATATAAAGTAAAGTATACCTTATCAACATACAAGTATATAAAGACTCAATATTCCCCTTAATATTTGTAAAATAAAAATAAATTATTCTTTTACATTTTCTATGATTTATGGCATTACATAACTGTCTTATACTGTCAAAGATACATGTTTTAACCACCCACAACCCACTCCAGCCATTATTGTGCTGGCACTTTCCATAGGTGTTCAGGGCTTACTGCAGTAAAAAACAAGGCCACAGTAAATGAAATGTGACAGGATTTAAAAAAACACAACACGCTGGTGAATTTAAATTACCACAGTGAAGGTAAACACCGTCCAAGGACACAGAGTATTGAAAAACAAGAGCAGGAAATGTTTCTGTAAAGCAACGAAAGTCAGTATGATCAGTCATTCACCATGTTTGCTCACACGGTCTTATACACTTAAATAAACACTCTTATGTTTCCTCTGTCCTGAGTAAAAGGACAACATGCTTACAGTATGTGAGCTGTTACAAAGTGCAAACCATTAGTAGCCCAGCGTCTCATTTGTAGCTGTTGATAAATGCAGCAGCGCCTAGGATTTATTAAAAGGGCATCTTGATTTATGGAGAAATTACACAAAGTGAGGCTTGGACTTTAACAATGAGGTGGTCGCTCTTTCCACACCATCTTCAACAAATGACTACAGTATATTAGCTTTAATTTGTTCCACTTGGTATTGCCTCTCATGTTTTTAAAAGTATATTCATAATTAGATGGACCCGACTGCAGTCTCAGTTGGAAACCAGTAATGAATGTGATCGTGACCCTAGCACAGCCCAGTTTAATAAATGAAACGGGAAAGAAGGAGAGGAGAAAAGCAGACTTGTTACCCTTTGCCGTCTGTATTCAGCTTTACTAATTAAGAGAAGGTACAAAAATTATATTTCTGGCACTCTCTACACCCGAGCAAGCCAGACAGCTCTCCTCCCGAATTGAGCTTGACTCCCGACCACGACGCCCCCGCCATCTGCCCAAGATGGAAAATCCTCCGGTTAAATCGCAAGGGAGCGGCGGGCATCTCAAGTCACGTCTTGAAAATCATCTTTCATAAACAGTATGTATGAAAGTCTATCCATCTTCTAGAGTCCTCAACCCGACACACGTTGGAGAGTATTGGCTGTTATTATGAGAATCTATCTAAATGACTATAATGACAGAGGGAAACTGTAGGTGTGCTGGAGGGTACATCTATTCAATCTGCCAACTGTTTACTGGCAGCACAGGGTTTATCTACCATTTTTGGTGCGATATAAACAGATTTGACAGATACAAATGTGAAGTCAGGGTACACAGCAAGAAAGGTTATCTGAAGACACAGGGCTAAAGGCTAATCCCGACCTGAAGCAAGCCTGTTGTGGATGTCAACATTATTATCAGAGAAACTGTTGTGAAATGGCACATTTTCCTTCAGCAAGATAGCCATTTTCAGTTTAGTTTAACAATGCATGCTTGCAATTTGAATCTCAGGTTGTTGGCTTGCTTAATGTCACTTCCTGCCATGACAAAAGACACAACCAAAGGGCATAGAGATAAAGACAGATAGTCATTCATAATTGTTCTTGAATTATACATTTTGATATATTTTAGTTCTTTCTTTGATTTATAATCAATAATACATACCAGTCTTACCTCTGACACCTTTAAATATTTTCCTCATGTGTATATTTTTGTAATTTAAAAAGGTGAAAGGAGGTTTACTCTGCTAAGCCTATAGGCTTGAAATGTGACATATATATAAATATGATAATTAAAATGAATGAATTATCATTTGTTATAAATACTACAAATGCAACCCCCTATTGCATTTGCTGAAACACACCAGTTTAGTATTTTCTTATGCAGAGCTTTTGCAATCCAATCGTTTTTGAGATATTTCAGTTTTGACAAAAGCTGCTTTTCTGCTAGCATGTCTAAAACTGCTAACCCTAAGAGAACCCCAAAGGAGGTTCATTCAGGGTTTTTTGAATAAGTAACAATGACAATAAAAACGAACCAAATATACATAATTTGACCATTTCAATTGGTTGTAATCTGTAACCTCAGTGCCAGATGTCTCTAATGCTCCCCACTGGTCCTTTAGTACCTCTCATTCACACCAACGGTGTTTCAGGGCCGGTTCGGAGCTGGAGCTTGAAAAGCACCGGGTTTTCCTGTTTTTTTTTTAATCAATTTATTGAACATGTCAGAAACAAAAACATACAACAATAATATATATATTTTTTTTTTTCTTTTTTTTTCTCACTCAAATTAATAATTATAACAAAGTAAAAAAAACAAAAAAAAACAACAATAATTCTCAAATAGTCTGTCATGTTCAACAGGGGCAAGAAGAAGCTTAAAAAAAACTGTTCTGGTCCTACCCCCTCTAGCATATATTTTTCTTATAAATAAAATATTAGGTCACACCGCAGCAGGGCAGCCTCTTAGCTCCGGAATCCGGTTCGTTTCAAGCACCAAAAAATTGTCCGGCTAGAGCAAAAGCACCGCATACGTCATGCTTACGTCGAGGCGGGGGCAGGGGGAATCGGAATCGTCGTTGAAGTTGATGATTATGATTGTAAAGCAGTTTTGAATGTAGCATGTAACGACTGTAAAGTTGGTAGTAAAGTCATCCCATTTCTTCCATTTAGTTTCGACAGAGCAAAACCAAAACGAGGAGCGCTTCAACACAATCGGCCATTGTTGTTGTTGTCGGTGTGAGCGGTGAGGGGTTTCCGCGCGGTTTGGCTTTATGAAGCAGGCACGCAAACGGTTACGTCATGACGCAAACGATGACGCAATGACGCCGCACCAGTCGGACTCTGGGCGGTGTGAAAAGAGCCGGAGCTAAACCGAAGAACCGGTTCTGAACCTGAAAAGCTCTAGCACGGAGCTTGAACCGGAGTTGCGTTGGTGTGAATGAGGTATAAGTCTCATATCAATAACACTGATGCGTTGGTTGGTTTCTGAACCAAATGAGAAGAGACTCTCTCACCTCCACCAGCTTCACAATGTTGACATGGTCCAGTTTTTTGAGGATGGCGATCTCTTGGTAGACCCTCTCCAGGGGTCCTAAGATTTTGGGCTGCTCTCCTTGAGCCACCTTGGGTCCTCTTGGGGGTGGGCGACCTGGAGACCACCACAAAAACCACACACACACACAATATCATTAATTTGATAATGATTATCTTGACAGGAGCAATCATATAACATGATTATCTATAGTAACTCAAATTGTCTTCACTGCTATGTTAGTTAGGATTTAGGTTTTAGTCTTACAATCCCCCTGAAGGCAGCAGTCTGGTATCCCTCATAGCAAACCCCTTTTGCTAATAGGGATAATAAAGCTGTTGAAGTATTCAAAACAAGATTTTAAGTAGACATCTTATGCTCATTTTCAGGTTTATGCTTGTATTTTGGGTTTCTACTAGGACATATTTACATGTTTTCATATTTTGTTCTCATAGCTGTCCGAAAAGCTCTGTTTCAGTGCCTGTCTCTTTAAGACTCCCTTTGGAAAAAGCCTAATTTTCTCTAATTAGCTTGCAAGAAAAATATGTCACACCTTTAAAAAAGGTTGTTTTGAAGCCTTGTTTGAAGACACTAGTATGGGAGACTAAACAGTTGAATGAGACTGCATGTGACATTGTAAGGGGAGCCAAATCTAATTGGCTCGTAGAATCCATGTTTTCGTAACTAAGCTGGCAACAAAAAACTGTCTGGGTTGAAATATTTCACAGTTTCTGGGTTGTAGCCACTCAAGAAACCAAAATGTATATGTGTACCTAGTTCAGGTCTAATACAATCTTGATGCTTCAAAGGGGCCCAGGTTCAAAACCATTTCCCCTTTAAATTATGACTTATTTTTGCAACGACATGTATATTATCGGCGATCTATAACATTTGTATTATCTCAATCTGCTTTTAAATGTCATGTATGTGTCAAGAAGAATAGAATAGGACTTACGTGGAAAACCACACTGCTTAATTAACTTCTTCTTGGAAACCAGCTTCATGGCCTAGGAAAGTAGAGAATGAGTTTGATCACAGACGGTTTACATGCCGGTAGTATAAAGAGTAAAACCTTTAATCAAGAAGTGATATCTATTCTTAAATTAAACTAAAGCAGGTTTACCAATAAATAAAATAGATTACACTTTTAGTTGGGCAATGGAAATGTAGATGGAAATGGGAAAAAAGTTAAAGGTAACACTTTGAAGGTTTGTTAGGTAAGTATTTGAAGTAAATGGATTCACTAACCGTCTTATTATGCTTTTTAAAGGTCAGAGTCAACTGAATGTCTTTTATGCAAAAGAGCATGTATAAAGGAAAACGGTGAGTGTGCGTGTGTGTGGCAGGAAGCACACTCAACGACATAATGATGTCTTATAACAAGGAATTGGTTATGCAAAAGAAGAAAACACTTCCTTTTAGAGACATTTCTCTAAAATAATACCATGTTATCAGAATGTCAGGGAGATTAACTAAGGATTTTTCTCATAACCCACTATTCTGCTAGTCCGACAGTACGTTATCCCTAACCAAAACGCACTTGTTTCCAGTTTCCTAGGTGGGTAAAATAATAATTCCAAAAATATGCAAAAAATAAATATCTTAAAATATATTTTAAGATCATGTTTAGTCATCTGATTCATCTGTAAATTGCTGTTTTAGTCTGCGTTCTTCTAATTGGTGTCTACAGTGTGCAAATTGAGCCGTGTAGAGCGATTTGGGGCAAGCCCCGATCTAGCCCCTCTCTCGCTGTCAAAATGAATGGGAGCTGTAAAAACTACACTGCGCATGCTCAGAGTCTTTTTGTATTCAATGTGTGCGGCAAAATCACAAGTGGGGCAAAGTGCTGGCAACCCCACCAAAACGTCATCTCATAATTCAGAGCTGATTGGCTATAAGTACGTGTGCCACGAAAAGTGTAGTTGTGAAGAGGGGACGAGAGAGAGCAGCGTATAGCGATTAAAATCAGTAAAACGGAAAGAAAATTAATGAAGCTGACCATCTACTGCAGCTTTAGTAAGTTCATTTTATGTCATATATTTTGATGATCTTCTGTGTTTTGCCTATAGGCTATTGCGTGGATGGATAGTCTACAGCTATTTGTTTACTTGTTTAAAAAAGCACCAGAAGCTTATATATAAACATCTAAGTTGTTCGTGCCCCACCACTTTTGTACATATAAAAATGCCACTGCTTGTTTCTAAAGCCACATTTTCCAAAATATAAAACTTATCATTTCAGAATAACATCAGGTGACCTTTTTGGTAGGATAATGTTTTTGCCTTCTATAGGAGAGACATGACCCGCCCTTCTCTGAATTACTAGTTGTTTTCAATGGTTGGGCTAGTTCAGTTGATCATGCCTAAACTTAACCAACTCTACCATTCAGGCAACGAGGCACGAGTAGGTAAGGCAAGGCAAGGCAAGGCAAGTTTATTTATATAGCACTTTTCAACACAAGGCAATTCAAAGTGCTTTACAAAAAATGAAAGAGATTAAGAAAATGGCATTTAAAATCAGTCATTAAAAAGAAAAGCTAATAAAATAAACATTAAAAGAAAAAATACATGGATAAAAGTTACAGTGCTGTCAATTAAACATTAAAAGAAAAAAGTACATGGATAAAAGTTACAGTGCAGTCTAAGATATGAATAGTTCAATTAAAAGCAGCGACAAAAAGAAAAGTCTTCAGCCTGGATTTAAAAGTAGTCAGAGTTGCAGCGGACCTGCAGGTTTCTGGGAGTTTGTTCCAGATATTTGGAGCATAATAACTGAACGCTGCTTTACCATGTTTAGTTCTGACTCTGGGGACAGAAAGCTGACCAGTCCCTGAAGACCTGAGAGATCTGGATGGTTCATAATTTAGCAGGAGGTCAGAAATGTATTTTGGGCCTAAACCATTCAGTGCTTTATAAACCAGCAGCAGTATTTTGAAATCTATTCTTTGACACACAGGAAGCCAGTGTAAAGACTTCAGAACTGGAGTGATGTGATCCACTTTCTTAGTGTTAGTGAGGACTCGAGCAGCAGCGTTCTGAATTAGCTGCAGCTTCCTAATAGATTTTTTAGTGAGACCTGTGAAGACACCATTGCAGTAGTGGAGTCTACTGAAGATAAAAGCATGGACAAGTTTTTCCAAATCCTGCTGTGACATTAGTCTTTTAATCCTAGATATATTCTTTAGGTGATAGTAGGCTGATTTAGTAACAGTTTTAATGTGACTGTTGAAACTCAGGTCAGAGTCCATGACTACACCTAGATTTCTGGCTTTATCTGTTGTTTTGAACATTGCACACTGAAGCTCAGCGCTAACTTTTATACGTTCTGCCTTGGCTCCAAAAACCATTACCTCAGTTTTATCTTTGTTTAATTGGAGAAAGTTCTGACACATCCAGTCATTGATTTGTTCAATGCACTTACTCAGTGTTTGAATTGGAGCATAGTCTCCTGGTGAAATTGTTACGTAAATTTGTGTGTCATCTGCATAGCTATGGTAACTTATTTTGTTGTTCTTCATTATCTGAGCCAGTGGTAGCATGTAGATGTTAAAGAGAAGAGGCCCCAAGATGGAGCCTTGAGGAACCCCACATGTCATATTTGTCAACTCAGATGTGTATTTACCTATAGAAACAAAGTTATTTCTGTCCTTTAAGTAGGATTCAAACCAATTCAGAACTGTTTCCGAAAGTCCCACCCAGTTCTCCAGTCGGTCTAGTAATATGCTGTGGTCAACAGTGTCAAACGCAGCACTGAGATCTAATAATACTAACACTGAAGTTCTACCACTGTCTGTGTTTAAGTGGATGTCATTAAAGACCTTTACAAGAGCAGTCTCAGTGCTGTGGTTTGGACGAAAGCCTGACTGGAACACATCGAAACAGTTATTTAAATGCAAGAAATTACTCAACTGTTGAAAAACAACTTTTTCAATGATTTTACCTAGAAATGGGAGGTTTGATATGGGCCTGTAGTTGTTCATTACTGAAGCATCTAGATTATTCTTTTTTAAGAGCGGTTTAATGACTGCAGTTTTCAGGGCCTGTGGAAAAACACCTGAGTGAAGAGATTTGTTTACTATATGAAGTAGATCTGAGGCCATGCAAGGCAAAACATCTTTGAAAAATCCTGTTGGAATAATATCAAGGCAGCAAGAGGAGGATTTCAGAAGTTGAATAATGTCCTCTAGGTTTTTATCATTAATCTGATGGAATTGTGTCATGATGTCTGAATTGATGTTAAGTGGAGATAGGGACAACACATTTGCTGTTCCTGATGCAGAGGCACTGACTGCTTGTCTGATTTTCTGAATTTTGTCAGTGAAAAAGGAGGCAAAATCATTGCACGCCCTGGTGGATAGAAATTCAGAGGCTACTGACACTGGGGGGTTAGTTAGTCTGTCGACGGTAGCAAACAAGGCACGTGCGTTGTTTTTGTTTTTGGTAATGATGTCAGAGAAGAACGATTGTCGTGCGTTTTTCAATTCCAAATTATAAAGGCCAAGTCTCTCTTTATAGATTTCAAAGTGAACCTGGAGATTTGTTTTTCGCCACCTGCGTTCAGCTTTTCGACATTCTCTTTTTTCTGTTTTCACGGTCATGGCCTTTCTCCATGAAGATATTTTCTTGCCAGACACTTCCTTTACCTTAGTTGGAGCAATGGCATCTATAACATTTTTAATTTTTGAATTAAAATGATCTACTAGCTCATTTACTGAGATGTTGGCAGGGGCAAGTGTGGAAGAGAAATTCTGAGTAAACATTTCCCTAGTATTTTCAGTTAAATATCGCTTTGTGGTTACCTCTTTTTGAACATTTTTGTGAACAGAAATAGAGCTCTCAAAGAAAACACAGGAATGGTCAGAGAGTGCAACATCAGTCACCACAACCTTAGAGATATTCAGACCCTTTGAGATAATTAAGTCCAGAGTGTGCCCCTTATTGTGCGTGGGCTCCGTCACATGCTGAGTCAGTCCATAGCTATCAAGAACACAAAATAGTTCTTTAGCCCCTCTGTCCTGGGGGTTGTCAACATGGATGTTAAAATCACCAACAATGACTAGACGGTCAAAGTCAATACACACTATAGACAGCAGTTCAGTAAAGTCATCAAAAAAGCTTGCACAGTATTTGGGTGGTCTATAGATATTTAGGAACAGAGCTCGAGAGGAGCATTTCAGCCGAAGGGCCACATATTCAAAAGAATCAAAGTTTCCATACGATGTCTTCCTGCATTGAAGGGAATCATTGAACAGAATAGCAACTCCACCCCCTTTCTTATGCATTCTTTCCTGACTCATAAAACTAAAGTTGGGAGGGGTTGATTCGATAAGAACAGCTGCACTGTTATTTTGTTCAATCCAAGTTTCTGTTAAAAACATAAAATCGAGATTGTGCTCAGTGATTAAATCATTGATTAAAAATGTTTTTCCTGCCAAAGACCTGACATTTAATAAAGCTAGTTTAAGTTTGTTAAACACACTATCAGTCATGTTTTTTGTAACAAGCTGTGGCTGACATGGAATCAATGCTAAATTAGATACACTCACACAAACGTTTGGGCGCTTCCTGTTTCTATGATTCACCGCTCTTAATCTATTACCTATCAACACAGATATCGGCAAAGCTACTGGCAGGCAGGGCCCCGACAGATAGATTGATTAGGGCAAGGCTTAAAATATCAAGATAGCCAATTAGAGGTAGAGTAGGGTGGGTCATGTTGTATACAAATATCAAGACAGTGAATGAACGATGACATCATTTTACACGATCATTAACCATATGCTTGTGTTTGTTGCAGGGAGAGTGTGTGCAATGCGCATCTCAGCAAAAGGGCTGTCGGACCAACAGGCTTTGAATCAAATGGGACATTTTCCAACTATTCGTTTAAAAATGTGGAAATATCGGAATAATGGCATGGCACCATTTCACTGATCATTGCTTCATGGTGAAGTGGAACATTTTCTTCTACTTCAACACCTCAGATTGTTCCGGTTCAGCAGTTCCTTTTTAAAAACTGGACGCCATGGCTATGACTGTGCAGAAAACCGTTTTGGCCGGAGAGTAGATCCTCCCCTGTATCCAGTATCCATGGTTTTGAGTGTGTGTGGGTGTGTGTGTGTCAACCAAAAACAATTAGTCAGGCAATACTCAGAATTATTGCAGCTATTATTATTTGCTCGTGATTTTTACGTTGCTGTAAGAGCTTCTGAGTATGTGCAAAGGAGGTACTGGTGAGGTGTAGGTGTTGTCGATCAAAGGCAGTCAAAAATCTTGACCGCAGGACATTTATTTTGTAAGAGGGGGGACATTTAAAGGTTTAGGTATGATGTCAGTCACCATCATTCCTTCAATGAGCAATTGTGCCTTCTTTGAATTCTTCAGAAGTCTAATCTGCAAACAAACAAGTCTCTGCATGTAAACAAGACATGTGCACTGTTTGCTAAGAGATGAAAATGAAACATGTTATAGCCGAGAAATTAAGGTTAAGTGGGCTGAGTGTTGACATCGGCAAAGATTTAAGATTTGTCACAAAACTCATATTGTTTTAAAGAAAGACAATTGTTCCATTACTCCTTAAAACGTTTAAAACTGACCTGCTTTCAAAATGAAAAATCATCATGTTTTGTTAGATGCATTTTGATGTGCTGTCGATGCTTAACCTATTGACAAATACAGTGAGATTCTGTTCATGTCCACTCTGTGATTTTCCTGGTTGAACACTTGTATTGTAGTAGCAGTAATTTAATAAAACTTAAACACGGCTGTAGAAAAGTAAATAGTCATACTTGATGTATGGCAGCATTGTTTCCCAATTGTCCCTCATGTACATTTCGTCAGCAAACTGAATCTAACTGACATTGAGAACTACTTAATGGAAAGGGAATGGCTATGGCTAAAAGAGGCTGACCTTAAAAAGCATGTACATTTGATTTCATAAATATAAGTTTAAGACCTGCACATTTTCAGTTTATATTGGCTTTAATGTGACCAATTGTGTAGGTGAATGTAATTTATTGAGCTTCATTTATTGAACAAAACTCAACTGCGGCCCACAAGCGGATAACATGTTGACAGTTTTTGTATATTAGAAAGGCTATATTTAATATTATTTTTATAAATTCCCCAAATCTGCTACCATGCACAGCTGTTGTGTGTATGTGTGTGCTCCTGCTTATGAACGCATCGCTCTACCAATTCAAATTAAGTTGAGTGGAGGCTGCATACATTTAATTTACTTTGGCCCCCTGAGGCTGATAAAGGGCCTGAATCCCAATTGGACGCCTGCCAATCAATTAGTGATCATGGTAATAATGCAACACATCATGCCACACTAACACTGGCAGGATTCAGAGACCTTTAATATTCTTTAACATGTCTCTGACGATAAAACCTGGGGTTCGAGCTCACTTGAAAAAAAGACCTTGGTGGTCAATCTTAACAGTGGTAATAATTGGTCCTTAAATCATTTCAAGTTAAAACCTATTTTAATTGATCCTACAATTTATCAACATAAATATTTATCAGAGTTTTCCTCAGGATGTTGATGCCAAGTCTGAGAACTTGGAATACACATTAAGTGATTTAAAATTAAAAAACATAATATAATAACAGTAATTCCTTTTGCACAAAATTCCTGTTTATACCTTTTTATTGATTTTTAAACCAATGAGAAATATGTAAACTAATAAATAATATCCATCATATATTATATTTCCTGTCTCTGCTGTGTTTGTGATATTGGTGCATACTGTATGTGGGCTCATGCTGCAGATATGCAGGAAATATGCAATCATTTTTTTTATGAAACCCGCCCAGATTGCCAGGAAATAGAATCACCCTCCATGCAGTCATTACTCCTCTCCTGATTTCTGTCATTGTTGTTTCAGATGTGTCTGTCATTTGAGCCAGAAGGCAATAACCTGCAGTCTGTCCCGGAAAGTGACATCCGCGTCAACAATCAGCAACAGTGCTTCCACACAGAGCGGAAAGGAAAGACTTAACAGAAATACTGAATGTAGGGACAGGCGAGAAGGAATTGTTGCATTTGAACATTTTTCATGAATCTGTGGTTTCATTTTGGGTGATTCTGACAAAGGAAAATCACCAATCTGCTTGGCGGATTCCATTTCAAAAGACAAAGGCTACTTTTCCGTGGAGTGGGAAGAGCTATATTTATGTACTGCAGACTAGTCATAGAGAGGAGGTCTGAGTGGATGGTGGGTGTACACAGAAAAGCACATTAGTCTGTTTTTTATCCACATTTAGCACAAAGCAAATTTCAAGAAAATCAGCAAAATAAATGTTATTGAACATGCTTTTCTGTCTGTTATGGGAATATATTTGGGAACATCTAGATATACAGTCTGGAGTCAAGTGCCATTACAGCCATCATTAAAAACATGTGTAGTGTTGGCCTGGGAAAGATTATGGTTCCGTTAAATGTTAATAAAGTAAACATGTTTATTGTTCTTATGTGTGCCTTTTATCTATTCTTATGTGTGCCTTTTATCTATTCGTGTAATATTATATTTTATTATAATGTCATGTTCATTGTGAAGCACTTTGGCAAACCCTTTGTTTTTAAAATGTGCTATATAAATAAAGTGGATTGGATTGGATGTTATGTACTAAACCAAGAACATGATCTTTGTCAAAAGTTGATCAGGTGCTGGGAGTCTAAACATAACCGCAAAAAAGCTTGTTACATTTGCAAAAGAGCTGCATTAGTGATTGAATTGTCAATTAACAGAAAATAATGATAATAGTTGCCGTTTTCAGCTCTTTTAATGAGGTCATGTTTATCTCTCTCCCCTCTCTCCCCTACCCCCACTGGACTATAACTCCCCACACACTCAAATCCAGCACAGGACACGTTTTTGTTACGCTGCTATCGACAATCTGCAATAAATGTACATTTTATGGACAATCTTGCACCAAATATATTGATATTGAAGTTCCACAGTTGGACATTATTTAAAGCTGCATGTCATTATTCCTCCAGAGGAAAAGTCTATATAAGCTCTCACTTGTTATAATATTTCACTAATGTTACAGGGTTCATCTCTGGCCTTACATAAACCGCTGTTGTTTATCGTTCTGCAGCCCATTTACAAGCTGCCATGTTAATACTGGGTTGTGTTTAGCTCGGAGCTCTCACTGGCTCCAGTTCAAAAGTACATCTTAAACACATCCAGGGTTGGCAGCTGTAGTCCGCATGACTCAGCCAAGCACTTTCATTGTTACTTTACGTGGCAGCAGTCATTTTTATGTTTAAACATAAAAAGGCTTACAGGGTTTGCCAAGCTTTTAAGTGTATATCACCTTGATGAAACACCTGAAATTACTAGTACTGGCTCATATCCAGATTGAACCGACCTCTGAGCAGCTACCAGCAATCAAAGCAACAGCGGCACTGCTTTGAAAATAGATCATAAAGTCTTGGAAGCACTTTAAGAAGCACCAGAAGTCACTTTCATTTCCAAGTTTCTTACAAGGCAACACATGCCTTGGACTAACAACTAAGCAACAAGATGGAGGGACAAACAAAATCAAAATATCTGTTAATATCATGTGACATGGCTCAATTGTATACTCAATCTGATTGGTCATTTTGGACATTTGGAAAGCACACCGTTGCTGAGGACGCTCTGATCAAGGCAGATCATGTGCAATCATATTGATCCACAACTTCAGTTGTGGCCAAAAAAACAGATTAGTTTTCCTCTTTCAGAAAAACACCAAAAACATGGAAATGTTTTACGATTTGCTTTTATATTTTTTAAGAGCATGAAACTTAAGATTCAGGATGTCTACACAGACCCCAGTAAAGACAATAGAAAGTGAACAAGAACAACAAGAAGATGAGACAAATAAATTAAAGGAACTAAAAGGAACAAGGTATGAGCTCTAGAGGTGTTTAAAAACTGGTTAGTTGAAAAGAAAATGTGAACAGACAAACCTCGACCAGAGCTGTTTTCATTTTAAAGGGGACCTATTATGCAAAATCTAATTGTTCATGTCTTTTATACATAACCATGTGTCCCCTCTGTGTAAAGAGATTCTGAAAGTTTCAGGAAAAAAGATTGGCTCACTTTTCGTCCTGATCCATTTATATAAAAACCTGTCTAAAAATGAGCTGATCAGATTTTGGACACTTTATGATGTCATAACGATTTTTTTGGGCTTGTGTAACCATTAGCCAATCAGCAAGCAAGGTAACACCCTCCCCACCTTATCACCTGAATCTCCTCCTAGAGCACCATTGTGTTCTTTTTAACCAAGCATGAAAATGCTTTGGTTGTCCCATTCCCAAACACAGATTAAACATATCCACTCAAATGTATGATAATTGGATAAATTGTTGATGAAATTGTTGATGAGTATTTCCAGGCGCCGCCTTTTGCAAAGACGTTTTGAGTCCAAACTGCAAAAGTTTTTGTAATTTAGCAGTTTCTCACATAAGGTAAATAGCAAAAAATCTAAGTTGGCGAGTTAAATAGTCATTTTACCGAAAGGAACCCCTATGGGATGATTAAGACTCTACGTAAAGCTTTGCAATAGAAACTGAGAGGCTTGATTCAAACTGAGAGACAAGTTGCTGCATGGAATAAAAAACAAGAACTTACATAATGTTTGTCATCATCCTCATTGTAGGCAAGTTTAACCACACCGTAGGAGCCCTGCAATACAGTAAAACATACAACATAAGATGTGGGTATATTTGTTCACAGTAAAACATTAAACGAAAATTCAATGTTATTTTTCATGCCACACACACACACACACACACACACACACACACACACACACACACACACACACACACACACACACACACACACACACACACACACACACACACACACACACACACACACACACACACACCACACACACACACACACACACACACACACACACACACACACACACACACACACACACACACACACACACACACACACACACACACACACACACACACACACACACACACACACACACACACACACACACACACACACACACACACACACACACACACACACACACACACACACACACACCAAAATTGCCAGCTGGCTGATGGTAAATTAATGGAAGAAAAGTATCTCATGGACACACACAAATCAATTTGTTTGCTTTAGAGTGTGAAATCCTCCAAATTTAGCAGATAAAATCAGAAGCAATTCAGTGTTCACGGATTCACTCTGTTTAAAAATAGAGAATAGGACATCACTGATTAATTTCTAAACACAGATATGATCAAGTGGACATATAGATATCAATCTGATGTTTGTTCTTTTTTTAATTAAATATCTACTACTTTAATATCAAACAATACTGCTGCTGTATATAGGCCATATATGTGCTGTTTGGTAATCTAAAAACACAGTGTGTCTTGCCTTATTGTGTAAAAAGATTTGCTCTTTTCAGTTATCCAGTTTTTTCAATTTCCATCTCTTTTGCTGCCACAGTGAATTCCCTGCAGAGTTTATCTCCAAGCGTCACTTTTTGAAATGCAAAACCCTGAGTCGTTCTGGTGTGCTGTCAGATTTAGTAATGCCGCCGCTCAGTGTCTTCTATGGAGTTTGAAATGGTCTAGCACGCCACAGGAATTCTACAGCACTCTTTGAATGTTCTGCTTTTTATTTCATCCTCCTTACGATATCAAATCTAGTGATTTTGTCACACAGTTTGTTTTTGATGGCCATACTAAAGGTGAGGCTCTTGATGATAGTCGGTCTGTCCACTTTTGTCCAGATGGAAATATCTCCTTTGGATGGATTGTTGTACACTTTCTGTACAGCTATTGATAGTCCCCTGATGATGAATCCTAATAGCTCTGGTGATCCTCTGACTATTTATTTAGCACCATAATGAAGTTTCCTTTAGCTTCACCTTTACTTTCAGTGGTACATTTCAAAACCCCAGTGAACATGTCAGTCTGGGTCAAATTGATCTCAATAAGAAATTGTACAGCCATTGTGACGAAGAGAAAGCTGAGCCATAAGGCAAAGCACTCAATCTAACGGTCCATCTTCGTTCCTTCCCTCACCTATTGTCAGGAAGGATGGGTCCTGACCAAGAGGATGAAATTGTGCATACTAGCGGCTGTAATGGGTTTCCTCCAGAGGGTGGCTGGAATCTCCCTCAGGGATAAGGCGAGAAGTTTAGTCATCCCGGAGGGACTGAGTAGAGCCGCTGTTCGTTCACATTGCAGTTGAGGTGGTAAGGCACCTGGTAAGGATGCCACCTCGCCATCTTCCTAGGCAGGTGTTCCAGGCACGTTCAGCTGGGAGGAGGCAGACGGGCAGGCCCAGGACCAGGTGGGGGGATTATACTGTATCTCCAGGTTGGCCTGGGAGCGCTTTGGAATCCCCCCGAGTCGTGGCATGGGGAAGGGGAAGTTTGGGGCACTGATGGAACTGCTTCCCCCGCGACAAGACTCCAGGATAAGTGGTGAGCATTAAAGGGGATTTTAATAACAATTTGTTTTTCTTCTTTTAATTGTCATGTAGATAACGATCAGACTAACCTTTGTATGAACATTTCATAAATATAAATAATTGAAATGAACAGTTTCCCCGTTGACAGCGTTTGATAAGAAGGATCTCATTAGTTCCAAATAATAAAAAAAACAAGTGTAAATGAATCCACTAGCATTACAGTTGACAGCTAACATGCTATCATTATTGCGTTTCTAACCAAATTAATTTCTAAATAAGGGCAAAGGGTCAATCTTCTCTTTTCTTAAACCACTCCTAATTCAGCAGAAAAGGAGAAAACTCACCTTTCCAATCTCACTCTTCAGCTTATACTGGTTCAACTGGATACAGTCCTGTAAGGGGGACAGAAAAGATGGGGGACATGAGGAACTACATCATCAACATAAACATGACGGGCACTTTCATCATCCAAAGCAAAGAGAAACAGGGCTGCCTTTGGTACGGGAACAAAGCGTCCCCGCTGTCTGTGTGTGTATACGTGCTGAGAGTCATTTATTTCAGAGATGTAGGTAACGATGCAGTCTGTAGTTTCTGTTTACTGTCTGCAAATCCATTAGAGTGCTACTGCTTAAATGGCTGATTTGCAGTTCCATAGCAACCGCTGCTACAGCACAGAGTCAGCCAGGGGCACGGCGGAGAGGAGCAGACCACAGCAGGACGTGGGAAGGGGGGGGGGGCAATTCAGAGGCATGGGGTGCACACAGACAGCAGAGTCAATAAGCGGAAAGTAAGCAGAGAACATTAGGGATGCACGATATGGATTTGCAGATAACATAACAAATGATTTTGGACTTTAGAGTAAGATATGCTAGGGTGAATTATTAAATATCTTATGGGCCTAACAAAATGTAACTGAACTATATGTCTATACAGTATGATGCATAAAAAAGCTTGTATTTCAAATTGCAATTGAGTCATCTTCTTCTGTATCTGTGAAAACGTACATATCGACGGCGACATGTTCGGCTCACTAGTCAACAAGATTTAGGGCTGTCCTTGACAAAAGATGTTCCTAGTTGATTAGTAATGGTCAATTCAGGCAATTAGTCTACTATTCGTTGCACTTTTATGATTATTAATATTATATGTTTTTGGCTTCACAAAATGGTTTCAGTTCCAGGGCTGAGAATGAACATTATAAGTAACATTATGGTTGATTGTGCTACATGTAATTATTTGTATATAATTAGATATATTTCCACGCTTAAAATGATCTACATTTTGTATTTCCTGCCCAAAAGATTTGACCTAATGACCAGGCACAGCTCCAGAATAAAGTCTGATGAGGTTTTGGCTGACACTACAAAAGTATTGAAAAATTGCTGGACTGAGATTTTTTTTAGCCGGCTAACGTTTAGGAGACTATTTGGTGCAGCCATAGCCTGCTTCTTCATCTTCTCTTTTTTGTTTTAAACTGGGCAATCTAGCTTGAATCTCCCTAAAAATATAGATTTTAAACTCATATCAGTGGCAAAAACAATGTTAAATTGGTAAGCTTTTTCCTAAAAAATGTGGATGTAACCTCTTCATAAACACCAACCTTTTTGATATACAACTTTCATTTAATTACATATTTGTTTCCAAGTAATTGTACCTGGTAATAATTACATTTAACTAGTCTCTCCCCAATAGTCTACTGTGCTTTTAAAGTCAATTAAAACGAATTTGGTTATCTATGAATTTTTGGAATAATACATAATGATATACATTTAACATTATTGGCAAACACTTTATTCCTTGGAATATATATCATGCACTGCAGTTAAAACGAAGGGGATAAAGTTGTGGAGAAAATTGATTGAAAGCAGTTACAGTTAGTGGCCTGAGGCTTGATGACACGTTAACAGGATCAGAGTTATAAGAACACAGATGTAATAAACACACCGAGTGAAAGTACTGTATGGTGCAGGACTTCAGTTTCCACTAGGCAAGATATTTTAGAAAATATGACATTATGTAGTGGGTTACATAACTCTCTGGTTATGTAGCTTGTACTGAGCGTGGCTGTGCTGTGGGAGATGTAAGGATCGTGCATTTGAGGGTTATGCACTGTAGGCTATAATGGTGTGAATTACTGTGGGCAGGGATTATGAGAAAGGGTTGGAGATGAAAAAGAGGACAACGCTTTGGTAGGTGAGGCAAGCAGTGGAACCTTTTCTTAAAGAATGCTTTGATTGGTTGAAAAGAGATAAAGAGAATGTGGAAAAATAGGGCAGCAAAGGATAAAGGGAAAGTCAAAGGAGGAGAAGCCAAAGAAAAGAGCAGTGGGGATTGTCTGAGAGGACTTCTATTGGGTTCACATTTTGCCAGCACATGCTCAGCGTCCACTGCAGTTAATACTCTGTCTGTCAGGCCTGATGGATAAAGAGGCCATGCAGAAAGCCTTAAATACATCTGCCACACATGCACATGGATAAATTATTTACGGTCACACTGTTATGTTGGACTATTGCTTGGATAACCAGCGCTGTCTTTCCTCAGTGATAAACCTTTCCACATCCCACCCTGCAAAATGACTGGAACATCTGATCAATATCAGTGCATAACAAATGCATCACTGCCACTGTGGTGTTCAAAATCAATGGTCATGAATTTCCTTCTTATGATGAATGATGAGGATACCTGCCTCAGGATGTATATGTAATAAAAAAGGAATTTGTGTTGGATAATATTTCAAACCTGTTCAGTATGTGTAAAATCATTTCCTAAACCTTTCATTTTAAATCAATTTTTACAGAGCGGTAGCTGTAGCAAAGTGAGAGCCTTGCAGAATAAGATGGTTTATTTCCTTGGGTTGGGTTGAGGAACTAAAATAGATTTTTCTTTAAGATGAAATACCAAATGAACAGATATTTAGTTCTGTATCAGTGTCCAGAATAATGTCAGGATAAGCACATCATTTACTCTACTAATGAACTGTGACACTAACATTAATCTTTGCTTGAGGGGCTGCCAAAGTTAGTAATTTTCAATTGCATCTGCTGCTGCTAATTTATTGTACACTTAGTCAGATGTAACAGATACAATTGTAAACTTTTTGTGGCTGAACTTTTTCGAAGACATTTCGGGTAGAGACATTTGTATATTCAAGTTTAACACTTACAGTTCACACAGTTCAATGTTCCAATATTGTCACAGTCATTTCTATTCCATTCCTTTTGGATGATGTCAGGCCATTAAATAGCTTTTAAAAGTGGTTTTCAATTGCTACCCATCATGAGGGTTCAGTTCATCATCATATATTGATATTATTGAGTGGAGGATTGTCTGGTTAAACAAACAACAGGTCTTTCACCCAGGAGATCAGAGTGGTGTGAACAATTACGTAGCCTGCCTATGTAAGCAAAGTCACATAACACAACAAATCCATGTAACAAACTTAGGCTAGTGCGTTTATTTATTTTGAACCAATAGCCTATGTGGTGTGTTTCCTAAAGCTATCCATATAGTTTTGCCACATAAACTTAAAATTACTGAAAAAAACTTGCGACACTTTCATTGCGTCCCAATTCCTGCCTATGAGACTTTCACCCAAGAAGAGACCTGAATGTCCTATGTGAAACCAAAAGTCAACTTTACGTTTTTTTTGTTGATTTAGGGATGTAACAATGCACCTAGGCCTACTATTGGGTGCAGTTTGCTTAAAAGGCATACATTTAACCCCATGAATTTGGTCGGTTTTCTCTGGATTCTCTTAATCCTAACTTGAACACACAAAACAGAAAAGTGTATGGGTTCTTAAGAAATCCTCCCACTTCCCAGGAGGAAAGAAAATTGTACACAATAATTGTATGTGTACAAAATAGAGTGAGAGACAATTAAAAATGGGATGAGAAAGTCAGTAGTGAGAACCAAAGAGAAGTTTTTCTGCCACAGAGAAAGAAAAAGAAGTGAACAGTTTTGGTGCTTTAGTTATACCAAATCTGTACACGTAGATTATCCTCATATGGCTTATAGCACTTGGGTTCATTACATGTCAAGGTGGACATTTCACTGTCCTTAATGAGGGTCGGAGAAATATAATCTGACACCAATTGGGAAAACATGCATGTGCGAGTTATTCTTAACCACTTTTCCAATTTGGTGACTGCTGTTATATTGAGAAACAGTGAATAAACTCAAAATGTCAGCCATAACTGATGTTTATGCATTCAAGAAGTACTTTTCACTCTCTTTTTTTCCTCTGCTGTTTTATACTGTAGATTCAGAGAGAGCAGGGAAATACAAGCAAAATGAGTCCTTTTCATGGTTCAGTGCGAGAGGCTGCAACTCCATTTCCAGATCGGAAAGGACACAATGACAGATCTGGGAGTCTGTGGCAGCAGTCTGTTCAAATCAGAGGGGTTCCACAGCCTGGCAGATGCTATGAATATGTAATGCTCACTCTGAATTGGAAGAAAGTCAGAGGTAAATGGAAATTCGGTATATCACCCGCAGCTGCAGTTTGCTCTTAGTTTTTAATGGGTTAGCACATAGAGATGCTTTCAGCTTGTTTCCTATGTTATGTCAATAGTTGTCATTTTTGATACGCAATATACGGCTGTCTCCAAATGATGTTGGCCAAATGCACAGTACTTTTCTGTTTTACAGTGTTACAGAGTTATGCGGGACTATATTTCTTAGCTGGGTCCAGTGACAGCTAGAACTCTCCACTGGTTGCCAGGAAACCCCACAGCCAGATATAATTTACTAAGCTATAGATGTGTTAGCTGGTGTTTTGTTTAAAATTTGGTGTGAGAAAGGCTAGGTTTTTTCACTGGCTCCCTTCTCGCGCTAACTAACCTAAGCCAAGCTAAATGTCTCCTAGCTGTACATGTGAGTGGAATCAATCATTGGAGCTATTTCACAAATTTGTAAAACTATTTATTTCACAGTGCTAAATAACTGCTGAGTACTGAGAAACAAAAACCTTGGACAAAGACAGACCCGGCGCCGTGGGAGGGCCAGGCCCTCCCATTTGACATTCCTGCCCTCCCCCAATAAACACTTTTTTGTATTATTTATAAAAATTAGATAAAAAAATATTTGTATTTTTTAAATGATAAATAAACGGTGAACTTTAATGCTACGATGTATGTGATGTCAGTCAGAGTAATACATGAAAAACAGGTATGAAATACTATATGACAGTAAAACAAGAATACAGTTTAAAAAGGAGAGTGATTTGTAAAATATCCATAAAGAAAAAGAAAATCTGCTTACAGTTCTGTTTCATATGGGTGTTGAGAGATGTATCCATAGATCTCTTAATTTTGCTCTCAAAGTGCACCAGATTGATGCTTTTAACTTCAATATTAAAAAAAAAAATCTTCCCGGGTGAACATGCCCCCGG